GGCGGTGGTGGTGGTGGTGGTGATGCTGGTCGCAGTGGGTCCAGAATAATTTTCGAAAAGCTTTACCTTATTGGGGACCCCCGCACCAATCGGGATTCTACATACATTAGCAGTAGCTGCGACAGTAGCAATAGTAGTAGGGCTGCGTTGGCAGGCCGTGGTCATGTGTATTAAAAAAAGATCCAGGGGGCCCCGCGGGCTTTATCGGGAGGAGAACTCCTTTTGGGCGGAAAATTGTCTTTCCAGCAGTTTGATGCAAGCTGGGTTCCTGAGTGTTGTGCTCTTGGTTGAAGAGTGATGCAGTTGGTTCATGCACTTTGTTCAGTCTGGAACTGGTATTGGGGCATGGGAGGTTCTAGATGCATGAGGTGTTGCACCAGGAGTACCCATCGGGGTGAAAAGGGGATTATCGGTATTTTGGGGCGACGTGGGGATCATGTTGCACAGTTCTACATTAAAGTTGCAGGTATATCTTAATGAAGCGTCCTTGCTGCAAGGGCCAGGACAGCCACATAGCAAAGAATAAGGCTGCACCACTTGTAGCAGAAAAGAAATCAGATGCCGATGAAAATCGTAGACTTTGTGGAAATTGTGGTGTGCGCGGGCATCTGAATCAGGCTGTGACCTGCGCAGCCCCATGCTTTGTATGCGGTGGCAACCATGAGTATGTTATAGATTTTTGAATGCACCCATCCCCAGTTTCATCATGAAGCACTTCGACAAGCAAATCGCAACAGAGAGGAATGGAGAGGCTTTGGTGCAGAGCAGATGGTTCGCAGAATCACGAAAGAGACACAACAAGGTATGAAAGATGCAGCTGTGGGACAGTACGGTAGTACTGGGTTCGACAGCCGTATGATCCAGAGCACGCTCCAGAAAGAGACAAATCACCAGAAAGAGCATCCGTTGACAAAGTTGGTCATGCCTCGGCCTGCTGCAAGACTTCTTTGCGCATTCTCTGGGAGCAAACAGAGTCCATGGCCATGACAGCACTTATGGATGGAGGGCTTCTGTGATCGAGTCTTGTGTGGATGGGCATGGGAAAGAGCTAGCTTGCAAGTGTACTTTGATGGTCCAATACTACCAGACGAAAGGTCAACAAAACCGGAAGCTATACTGTGTCGGGGTTCCAGAGAAGCATCGACATCGTTTTCATTGGCTTACTGGCTCAGTGTTTCAAGGCCATGACAGACTTGATGCCAGGGATATCAACGGCATTCTGCAGGCGTTTTGCATGTGGCAAGGGCGCATAAGTCACTGCGCAGGCCAGGTGTTGCCAAGAAACTTCTGATCTTAGGTAGTCACATTTCATAAGGGCCCACATCCTCATGTAACCCTTTACTCCCACTGACCCGAGAGCTGTTCCTAATGTATTCCCACAAAACTCGTTATGATCTTTAACTGGTCCCCGCACAATCGCTTTACCCCTGATCCTGGATTTGACCCCCGCTGGGCAGGACACAGGGCTGCACAGAAACACGGTGCAGAGGCTCCTAGACAGATGGAGGATGGCGGCAACACTTGTAGCGCAGCAACAGCGGGAAGATGTTGTCTTTGAAAACTACCAGGTTGAGGCAGACGAAACAGTGGTACGAGAAGAAAGGGTTTATGAAGATGATGAAAGCGGCAACAACTTGCGAGCTGGCACTCTTCATCATCCGGCCATCTGTCTCACACAGAGAGGCAGGCCAAAGCAAGTCCTGTACCCCTGTGAGCCCAAGTTTGTGCCAGTGGCTGCAGGTGGCAAACCTTCCCCACCTCCGCTACCAACAGTGGATCTGCTATTGCCCGTGCTGTCAAAGCACCTTGGTCAGTTTGTGGTACTGCATACAGGCGGCGCGGAAGCATATTCTGCAGCATGCAAGCGTCTCCAAGAGGAGGGCGCAACTGTGGTTCGTGATCATGTTGTCCACTCGCAAGGGCAGTGGACTGGATTTGGTCGACAAGATTTGACAAAGTGGACAGACTGGGAGGGATGTGCGTTTGCTCTCACAAACGACAAAGGAGAGATGCGAATCCGTGTCATCAAGGGCATTCCAAAAGCTGAGGGATTGTGGCGGCGATTGAAGCACTCAGAGCATGCCATTCCTGAAGAAGTTCATGCTTGGCGAATGCAATGCATTGATTGTCCTTACCGTAAAGTTTTGAGAATGTGCGAGGCTTTCCGTCACTTGCCTCTTAGGGAGAAGTCGCTGGTATGGCTGTAGTCTGAATCCAAGCAGGACAGAGAATGTGTGTCTCAAGAAGCCCAAGTTGTGCACTATAACTGGTCATCTGGTCTTGGAAGGGCAACTCAGAAGAGGAAGCGGAAGAAATAGAGGAGTTGTAGGGTCAGGACTGAGCCAAACGCAAACGCGCAGAGAACAAAAGCCTCAGAAACCTGGGCACCGTCTCCGTGATTCCGCTTTCTTTTGCTGTTTTTTGTTGACTGCGGACTTCAGAGGAAATCCTTAGTAAGTAGACAAAAATTCTCACGGCCTGACAGTCATGACATCATCATAGTAGTAGTAGTAGTAGTAGTAGTAGCAACAGCAGTAGTAGTAGTAGGTGTAGTAATATGAGGAGCAGTAGTAGCAGTGGGAGGAGTAAGAATCGTCGTGGGAGTAGTAGTCGTCGCAGTAGCAATGGCAATGGTAGTGGTTGTGGTACGAGTAGTGGGAGTAGAAATAGCAGTAGTAGTGCAAAGCTGGTAGCAAAAGAAAGAACTGCAGCACAGTCGCGTCATGAGGAGTAGTGGTAGCAGCAGCAACCGCATATCGCATTTTGACCATTTGTGTTTGTGTAGACATGGTGGTGAAAACGCTTGCAAGTTCAGCCTAAACACATACTTTGAGTCCTTCATCTTGGAGGCAGCAAATGTGTCTTTGCCGGCTGCTTTGGCTTTCATGACAAGGTTGTGCTCTGCAGCAACAAGTGGAAGTAGAAACAACATACATCGCATACACGTGTGGCCTGCGGCAAAGACGCTCACAGTGTTGACTTGCAGCTCTTCTGCGGCTCGTGTCAGTCTCAGGCAATGCATGGGCTTCACCACCGACCAACACCAAGGGTTCTTGTAAATAGGCATCTCCTATAAGTGGTCAAGGGGCATGCATCACAGTGGGCTGCAATGCCCTCTCTCCACTGGCAAAAGCACTATTCCGGACAAATCCTGCAAAGCTGCCGGAATGTATGGCCATTGCTGTTCCTCTCTCAAGTTGTTGGGCTTTTAATACGAATTGATTTTTTGTTTTTAGGGGTAGGGTGGGGGCTGAGAGGGGGTGTTGGGGGCGGGAACCTTTTTCTCAGGAAAAACGATGCAAGATGATGAATTACAATGAAAACTGGTGAATCATGATCAAGCACGATTAGAGCGTGATGAAATTCATGAAGCATGGCGCAAAATGATGAATAATGATGAAACCAGATTGAAAGCGATGAAAATGGTGAAGCATGACGCAAAGGATAACATATTATGAAGCACGATGCAATATAATTTGCTTCACCACAGGGGGCTTGGGAGGGGCAGCCAAAGCATAGAAACGTAATGGACAGTGATGAAACATGATGGAGCAGTGATGGTAACTAATGAAAAACGGTGGAACATTCTGAAAATACATTGAAAAACATTGAAAAATGACAGACGCGATGGAAAATGACGAGCAATGCTCAAAAGTAATGAACATCATGAAGTCTTGAAATGCGAAAAATGATCGAAACGACGAAAAGGATGAACTATAATGCAATATGATGGAAGTCATGAAACATGATGAGCATGATGGAAGTTATGAAGCAGAATGGAAAAGATGATGAAAAGTGATCAAAGACGTTGGAAAATCATGGAAAACGATATGAGCATGATGAAAGAAGATGAAAATTGCACAACAGCAAGGAAGGAAGGAGTCGACCTGCAGGGGGCTCACGCGGCCTCCTGCACCCTTCCCCGCCCAGCATCTCGGAGTAAAATGACAGAAAACACACATGCAAGCGTGATGAGCAAGGATGACCATAATGAAATGGCTTGAAAAAGCATTTGGAATAACAAGGGGTGATTAACAAGTAATGAAGCTGCTAGCATATGATGGAAAAGTCTTGAGTGATGGTAGAATGTGCTGAAACATGATGAGATGTGATGCCGTGATGCAACATGATCAAATATTCTTTCTTCCTTTCGCAGAAATGCGCTGCGCAAATTGATTCTGCCTTGGAACCCATAGATGATGGAACATGATGGCAATTCTGACACATGACACAAGCGACTAACACGATGAACAATGCTGACAAGCGATGACATGATGAACTGCCATGAAAAACACTGAAACTTATGGAAGGTGTGATGAATATATGTGCTGAAAATATGTGAAAACTACACACGTGATTAAACGTGATGAGGACGATGAGAGATCATGAACCATGATGAAACACGACAGAAGCAATGAAGATGATGAAAATGAGGAAACATGAGAACAATCAGAATAGTCATAATAATAGGTATGATGACATTAATCACCAAAATGTGGGCTACAATGTATTATTACTCGCCATAGAAATGATGGTGTAATGACCTTCTGTGTGTATATCTTTCTTTCGCTTCCTTGTGTCCGTCGTTGTTTCTTTCTGTTTTGCTGTCTTTCTTTCTTACTTGATTCCATCTTTGATAAAAGAGTATGACTATGAGTACTATGCTTGCTGCTTTTTGCTGATCTTTTTCTTTCCTTCTTTATGTCGGTCTGTCTGTCTGTCTTTCCTGCTGTGCTACTTCACATCAACTCTTCCGTCCTTCCTCTTGGCACTTTATGGTCCTCACCTACGTAAACAAGCTTCCGTGCCGAGAAAAATCAAAGCCCCTCCCAGCCTCCAAACAAAACGAACAACGATACTTTTGATGCTGTAGCAGCCTCGAGCTGAGCCTAGTGTGCCTACCACTTCTTGGCCCCAAGGCTGTTGCCTGTAATAACTGTAATAGCTCCAAGTTCGCCAGTCAGTTCAAGCGATCTAACCCCTGCTACCTTCGACCGCGATCTTGGTCCGCAGCCAAGGAGGCAGCAAGGCGGTCAGCCAGAGCCTGCACATTGCACCAGCGATAACTGACCCCTTCCCTACCCCAGCATCTCTGCGTACTGTCCATCCCAAGGTATCAATCCAGAGTTGTTTGTTGAACTCTTTGCTGGTGCCATTGATGCCGGTTTAGCTTCTTTGCCCGGACGGGCGCAAGGGGTCAAACTGCGTTTATGAATGTCACGTGCAGCCGTTCCCTTTGGCAGAACCCATGAGAGACCTTCAACAAATGGATGGTGCACCTGTCCTCAACACCGGACTTCCAAGATCATCAAATCCACAGAGGCCTTTTCACATCTCTTCCCCGCCAGGGCGTACATAGCTCACAAAGAAGCACTTTCAACTAAGAGTTTGCTGGCCACTTACGAGATGATTATCCTTTTCTGTGCTTTTGGGGCGGGCTGTGCCGACATGGGGGCAACAGCAGGAATTTCAGTACACAGGAATGTTGCAATGACGCCAAATGTCTTCAGACGCCCTGCAAGACAGCTGAACAAACTCCTAATCGCTTTGAGCTCGGGGCCTCGCAGGCGTACAAGTAAGCCTCCACACAAGAGCATCAATCCACTTAGGACTGACATGTCAAGCCTACACATCATTCCAGCCCCCCAACCCCGCAACGGCTGTTCAAAGAAACATGTTGGAAGTCCTGCATGCTGCTTCAAGATGCCACCGGGCATTGTGCCTGTGGCCAATGATCCTGCCACATGGTCCACGCCGGCCGGACACTGTGCATAGATGCTGCGCTGGGCGTTGAGACTGTTATCAAGAAATCCTCCATCCTGCAGCCACTGAGCGTGACATGCATGGCTTATGCACACGGATTGTCGCGCTTGGTAGGTGATCGTAAGCTTCTCCGGCAATTACTTGAAAATCCGCTGGGCAAGTGACCTGGAGCGTTCTGATCTCAGCAATGTTTGCCCCTCTGCCGGAAGGTCTCGTTACGTTGTTCGAGGCTGAGGAAGGACGAAGAACTAAGTACTCTTGCTGGGTCTGCGGAGGTTCAGGCTCAGCCCGCCCTGCTCTTTACCTTTTTGTCCCCGCCACCTTCTCCCCGGCCTTGAACAAGCCTTTGCCTCTGCTAATTGATGGGACAATGTGCCATATCTTTGTTGCCAGCATCACTTTTCACCCCCTTCTGGGCGCCCGCCCTGCTCGCAAGCATGAACATAAGTCAAACCCTAGGAACAGCTGCCCAACATTGCCCAACATTCCCCAAACCAAGAGTCGAACTTCTCCACAAGATGGGCTTCAGTTCCCGAGTCCGCGTGCCAATCGCCCTTCTTCTCAAATGCAGCTGCCAACCTGGAGAACTAAAACAAATGCACTCACCCCGTTCAATGGCGTGACGCTTGGCCATCTGTCCTGGATTGTGCATAGGAATAGCCGGGAGCTCTGCAGCGTCGGCAGCCGCATCCTCGAAGACAGTTGTAGATGTTGAGGTGCTTGTAAGGCGTCGCGGGCTTGGAGTCTTAGTTGTAAGGTCTAAAGCCCTGTTGCGAGGAACTTTCTCCTTAGCATTCTAGTAACCAGAAGAAGCAAGGAACCTGAATCTGCCGCTGCTGCAGGGCATCTTGTAGCCGTGCTGGCTCTGTTGGGAGATGAAATTTTGCCAGCACTGCTCTTAGCTCTTCCAGCTGGTCCTCTGCTGTCTGAGAGGCCTCTGTCACATGCAGGCGGAGATCTTCCACCGACTTCTGGGAGAGCATTGGTATCATGTCCTTGGCATGGATAATGCCGGTGACAAACTTCTCCATCTTGCGAGCCAACGCCTGATCAATGACCTTTGGAACACCGAACACGAAGGCTCGCACTGGTATGCCAGCTTCATCACGAAGCAACCAGGCCAGCACGGCTGCAACAGCTCCGCCCAAGCTGTGGCCTGTGATAATGATCTTTCCTGACTCAGTAGAAGCCACGTGTCTTTGCAGAAGTGGAGCCACTCTGTTAAACACCCAGAGGGCACTTGCCAGCACACCTTCATGCATCATATGCTCCTTGTGCAGCACTTGTGTTGCCAGCACATCTGACATGCTGAAAGTGCCACGGATGGAGACAACAATTGCCGAGCTTTCTCGGTCGCGACACACCCACCATACAGGCTTGAATGGATGAGCCACAGTCTCGGCATCCAGCACGTCGTCATCGCTGATGCCACTCATGCGAACGAAGGCTCGACGTTCTGAGATGCAGCATGCCAATGTCAAGCAAGCCGTGCCCGGCGAGACCAGTCCGTACAGCCTTGCAATTGCTCCCAGGAAAATTTCTAGGCGATGTGCACAACTGATGTGCTTCGAGCCTGCCTGTTTGAATACGCGGCCAACGCGAACCGCGCCTCGAAGACACTTACAATCACTAACAATCACTCACACACAGCTAACCAAAGGTATAGAGGAGAATGGGCTATGGGTGCTGTCCAGTGGCAAAATGAGCTGACAAGCGCATCACGTCCAAGAGCACTCCGTCAGGCATGTCGTTCAATCCAAATGGCCTGCTTAAAAAAGAGTGTGGGGGATCTCATTGCAGCGCAAGGCATCCCAGGAGCTTGAGAGCATCTTTCAGGCCCAAGGCTCAGACGGCATGACCCGCAGCTTCAGGACGTTGTGCAGAGAGGGCCTCGGCTCCCAGTTCTCAGCACCCAAGTACGGGCGGAATAGGTATCCGGCCATTCAGGCGGAGGTGGGGCCAAGCGATCGAATTCGTCATCTTCCTCTTCTGCATGGTGTATTCAGTCAAACTGACCAACACAAGCTGAAAAGCTTCCGATCCTCAGCCTGCGCCTTCACCAGCAAGGCCCGTAAGCCTGCTGTCCAGGTTGCAAAGCTAGGTGAGCCATGCGAGTACCTGAGCAGGCGCTCAGCTTGGATGAACTTGAAAGTCCAATGGCTACTGGCTTTAGTTTGGAAAAGACCTGGCATGGTACCAGCACAAGCACGGCTTCATTGCTTGGTCGGTAGTTTTGCAGAATCGAAGGGATGCAATTGCCAGGTTGCTCAGCTGTCAGTAGCGCCAGTGACTGTACGACTGCTGCATGCTGAGCCTGGGTCACGTATGCCGAGAAAAGTGCAGAAACGATGGCTAGCAGCGTCTGGCGGTTCTTGGAGCCTGCGCAGCTTCGAAATGGACTTCCCGACTTGGGGTGAGGCAGAAACATCGCCTCACAAGCAATGCCCAAAAGAGGTGGAATGATGACATTGCGTGCGGTTCTCTACATGCTTAATGTGAGCGGAGTCTGCACGGGGTATGGAAGTAATTGCGTACTTCCGGTCACATGCTCAGACGAGTTTGAAAGTTTTTTCTTCAGTTCAACCTTTCAAGACTGACTTCCAACCTCAACCCTTATTGGGGTATTAGGCAAGCTGCATGAAGCACTTCCAGCATGATTCATGCTGCTGTAGACGACGTGCGCCACCTTCGTTCCTCTCTATCGCAGGACTGCAAGGATCGACCTATGCACAGTAGGTGTATGCTGGCGGGAAGCGATGTACAGCGTGTCAGCCCGCACTGGAGACATATGGAGACATGCTACGGGATACCTTTCTTGATCACAAAGCCTGTCCTGAGAAGCCTGTCTAGCGCTCGTCTTAGCCGTGGTCGCTCCACATCTTAGGCAGAAAGATTCACGTTGAAAGCATCAAGCAGTCGTGCCACAAACACTCCGGCAGAAAGAAGAACTCTGCAAGCTGGCAGCATGTGATGTGATCATGCCCAAGCGCCTCGCCTGTCAGTATGAATGGATCTGCCTGTGGAACGGCAGCGCCGGCGGTCCCTGCAGCAGAACTATGCCGCAGAAGTTTTCAAACCCATGCAGGATCAGCTGACTCACACATGTTAGAAAGGCTAACTTAACATCCCGGCTGTAGCTGAAGGTATCGAGGCCCTAGCTTCCCGAAAAAGCTCCGTCTCGCTGTGATCCCATGCCGGCTGAAGTCCGCGCTGACGTCACAAGCGCCGACGTCATAAGCCATCCACACCATTTCTACTCAGCGTGAGTGTTTCCTTAGATCGCCTGGCACAAGCATCACCTATTTGCTGGCTCAGGATTGGCTGCTGCATAGTTGCTGCATCGCGAGCTGTTGCTGAGGCTACATGGCAACAGCATGCAGCATGAAAAAGAAGATGGGCGGCCGGATGTTCAGACAGGCTCGCAGACTATCGCAGGCTATCGCAGGCTTTCGCGGGCTTATTGCCAAGAGATGGCAACAGCAGACGCACAGGTCACACGGGGTCCCAGCGTCTGCCATCGTTGCAAGTCCAGCGCCTGTCTGCCTTGCATTTCCGAACAAGATCAGGGCATCGGATAGCTGCAATCCTCTAAGCCATTCGCAGGAGCGCGTGTGCTATCGCTCGTCCAGCGACTTCCTTTAGCGCAGCTTGGAATCTTCATGATGCATTGACCTCCTGATGAGGCCTTCAGACCAAGCTGAGATGTCGGCCCCCGCTAGGTTTGCAGGAACCTCAGGCATCAAAAGTGCGCAACTCAGAAGCCAGCACTTGCCTCAGCTCCAGAAAGGCTCCGTGAGATCTCCTGCTTCAATCACCATCCATCGATCCAATGAGCCGGTGCAACTGGCCCTTGCAATTATGATAGCAGCACGGGATATCACGTTGGGTAGCCTACGGCGTTGAGGCAGCAAGGCCGTAAAACTGCCCTCACAGCTCTCCCCATAGTCCCAGCCAGCTCAAAGCGCAATGGACGCAAATGCGCTCTGCTCTTCTTGATTCTTGTTGTTGTCGTTGCTGCTGCTGGCACCTCTCTGGTCAGAGTCAGTGTGCTCTGAGATTCGGTCTCCAGCAGCTTGTGCAGCTGCAGCCGCAGCGAGCCCCACCTGCAGAAGCAAGGCTGACATCCTGCTTTATCTGGTCATCTGCCCTCTTTCGCGCAGCACCACAGGCCCGACGATCGCTTCTGCTTTGAGTCCGCAGTTCCCAAAGCAAGCCTGGTGCCCGGACTTGCTTTGCTTTGCTGCTGCCTGGCCCACACTGACCCGAATCGAAGCACTAGGCACCAGCGAGCTCAGAAAGATCGAGTGACTTGACGGGTGGAGAGCCTTTGCAGACTCTTCCGAAGCTGCTATCGCAGCAATGCGAGGCACCAAGTCCTCAGCAGAACTCAGCAGATTGAAGCTTCCAACATTTTGCCCCAAAGTGTTCAAGCCCCAGCAAGTGGATTCTGTCCAGATAAACAACAACCAATCATCTCTATGCGCTGAGTTGCCCGGAAGCTGTGGATCAGGCGATGAGGCTTCTCTTCCGGGGCGGCTTTACAATTGACATCAATTGACTACCCCTCTTTGCAACCAGATCCCCATAGGGCACCCGCTAGAGGAAGCAGCGAGGCGTGGGCTACCTCGACCTGCCGTAGAGGGAATGACTGCGTAGCTGAAAGCTGCACCTGGGCTGCTCGCCGCTGCCGCAGCAATTTCTTGCCAGCCCGCCTCGCAACAAACAAAGCAACACAGTGGATTGAGTTGTACCACTTCAGCAGAAGTTTCCCTCGATACCTGCTTTCGACCCATTTCTGCAGCCATTGCGCGTGTTGCAGCTTCGCCGGCCTGAAAAGCAAGAGCTTGCCATTAGCATAGTAGGCTCCTGTCCATCAGCCAGCTTGGCACACATTTTACATTTTGCGCGAGGGACCCAGGCCCAGGCTACTTCTGCGATGAGACTGCTCTTGGCGAGGCCTGCAGATGTTGCAGCTTGCCTCGAGAAATGTGAAAATGCACGTTGCGGGCAATACTGCAAACAGTTCGTGGTGGAGAGTGAACAGGCATGACTTGACAGCTCAGCATCAGACCTTGCAACCAAGGCAACCTCTTTCGAGGTCTTACCCGACCTCCCATCCACATCCACAGCTCCCGGCCAACAGCTTCTCATTGAAACTCCAGTAATTCTTTGTGGCTTTTACTGCCCCACCTGGCAGCCCGGTCAGCAAGTGCTTCTGCAGCTTTCCTAGCTCCTTTCAGCAGCGCTTGCTGCTTGGCATCCGCCTCGGCGATTCGGTTTGCAATGTGATCTACAACCAAACAAGAAATGGCAGAAATAGCAATCTTTTTCCTACGCATCTGCGCTACAGAGTCAGAGCTCTCATCTCCGCCACGAAATGCAAGAAGTTCGCTTTGGGATCCTCATGCCTCGGGAACACTTCCGTGTCAGTCCAGGTCAAAACCTGTCAAGCCCGCCAATTTTAAGTTCTTGTCCAAGCAGCTGAATGCTCAGCTTCTCAAAACTTTGCAGCACCATTGCCCGCAGGATTTGGTCGGTTATGCCCACCTTAGCCATGCAGTCAGGGAGGCAGGATTCGTACTTTTGCTGCCCTGGGGGCCCGCCAGCCACTAAGAGGCCTGAGTAAAGAAGCCTTCAAACATAATACTTGCTTGCAAGGAGCAAGCAGTTTACTTGCGGTCGCCATCAATGCAGAGCCAGTGGTGTAGACCATGAACAAGTCTGCCAAGCGCTCAAGCAGGGGGCCATCCTGGTAGACGGCAATGTGTAGAACCCGCGGAAGGATTTCTGCTGCGGAAGCATCTCCCTTAAAAGGTCTTTCTGTCAAAGCACGCAGTGCCAACAGTTGAATTTGCCCATCTGGATGCCCAAGCCCTTCGGACAAACACTCGAAGCATGCTTGAGTCATCGGGGCCCTGCTCATCAAGTCAAAGCATCGTCTGCGGTGACAGTCACAGCATTTACTCCAAAGAATTACCAAGGCCTCACTGACACGACTTGCGGGAGCCTCCAGGAGAGCCTCACATAAATCTAGAGCATGTTCTTGCAGAAAGCTGTCAGCTGGGAAGGCTGCCAAAGCGACGCAAACGCTGTCGGCCAGAGACAGCCCGCATTCGCTGCCATTCTTTGCAAGGGCCGCCAGTAAAGGGGCGGCACATGGCAACAAATGTTCTGGAGATTGTCCATTGAGTCTGGCCTGTAAAGCCTGGATGATGGGCTTGTCAAACTCGTTTCCCAAAGGCGCGAGGCCGCCGAGAGCACAAAAGCGGCGCTCTGTAAGCGCATGCTGATGTCCACTTGAGTATGTGGGATCCCAGCTAGCCAACTGCTTCAAGACATCCTCCTGCAACGGAGCTGCTAATGTAGCCAATTCTGGGACGCCTGCGCCGTTGCGCAGGCATCGACAGAAGCCGCGAACCAACGTCAACGGCATGCAAGGGTTCGACCACACTTCTTGGAAGTGCGTGGCGAATAGCACCCGCGACTCAGCGGATTTCGAAATTTCATTTAGGACTGCTAGCCCTTCCTCCACAACTTGCATATCTGACGCCATCTGGCCCAGAAGACCCAAAACCACTCTGAAAACTTGGGCAGTGTCACTAAACGACACACCTCGTGCACATACTCTCCGGAAAAACCGCAGACTGTCAGCTACCAATAGCGGCGAATTCAAACTATTTGTCTGAATGCTGACCTCTGCAGCTAGGCAAAGCGCTTTGCTACTAACCTCAAGGAACTCGCATGCGAAGCAAAGGGAAACATGCCGGACGTCCATGGACAGCTCATCTGTCAGCGGCTGCGTGAGCAACTGTCGCAGCATTCCGATGATCTGAGAGCAGTTCTGCCCCATTCTGGCAATCAATGCAAAGAGATCATTGCAAGAGTTCGCAGCAGTTGTGCTGAGTGTCTCGTCGTACGTGTCCGGAACATTAGCCCGCAGAATCACATGCTGGAAAAAGTGTTGGACCACATGGTCTGCTAGTTCCTTGTCACTTGGCTGCCGACTCAACACCTGTAGGATTGCAACCAAGCTGTCATAGTCCTGCAAGCCTTCTTCGGCATTGAAGTCTGCCTGCAGGTCAAGAACAGAGCCTCCTGCTTCGGGTACTAACTTTGCTATTCGACAGATGCAGCCGGCAGCGAATCTCCCCTGCGGCCTGCATAAGCTGGGCGGCAGTCCTGGCCGCAGTGCTACCGTTAGTCATGTGTCTGTTTGTTGGTACCCTGCTGATTCACGGCAACATGTCCTGACTAAACTTGACAGCTGGGAGGGAGATGGCTGCGTGAGCAGCTGTGAGGCACAGGTCGCTGCAGCATACAGGCTCCCACGCCTGCAAGAATCTTGCCCATGCTTCTCTGCTGCGCATGGTGATTTGCTATTCTGAGGATGCCTGGAGGCTGCATCCACCACCAAATCCCAAACCGCCTCTGCAGGTCATGTTGAATTAAACATTCTGCTCTCAGCGATT